GGCCCTCTCGCACACCCGTCACTAAAATCATAAAGGGCAGAGAGTAATCTAACTATTCTGTCTGGATAAATGCATTTTGGCTTTTATGACTCCTCCTATATTGATAAATCAAGTGACACACTGGGTTTTTATATAGGTTAGATTGATTTAAAGTCATTATTATTTTATTGCATGTACAACAGTATAATTACATAATTTTGGTGTGGTTAGTCATTGTTGCTGTTAGGAAAGCATCTCATATGGTCGTCCTGCACAACTCAAAGGAATAATTGTTTCTGGTCTTTGTTATGATGGCATTGTACTGCTCGATAAGGACCACAATCGAGTGTTAAACTGTCTGTAGTCCTTACTGAGCTCTCATGACTCAGGCTCATAATCCAGATGGAATTTTGAGGCACCTTAATAAGGCTGTTGTGCTCTTAGTGATGAAATCTTTAATTGTCAGACTTCCTGACAATCAGCTGAATGTACTCTGGAGGTTCATTCATGCCTTCATTCTCTTTAATACCTTTACTATTACTCATTTTGTTTCTGTGGGTACAGCTGAATTAAAGAATACCAAACCAATGAGTTCCTCATTGAGATACCACAGATGTGCAGCAAAGTTTTCACAGGCACATTTTAAAATAGCAGATTTCACCCTCTTATACTTAACAAGATGTTGTAGGAAGTTAAGATCACTGCAAGGAGTAGTGAACCATGCCCTAAGATAGAACAACAAAGATGCAGATGTCATGGAGCCCTCTTACCTTATGGTCAATGAGCTTAAATTGTCCCATAAATGTCCAGATCTTGAAGGCATATAATGCCCTGGCCATCCATTGTGCTTCAGGTGCTATGAATCATACTCCACGAAGAGGAAGCCACCAAGGAAGGTTATTTTTAGTTCAAGAAGCTTTTGGTAATTGTCTCTAGGTTGGCTGACCTGAATTTGTCTTGTAAAAACTCAATGACCCTGTCCCTAACCTTCAGCCACTTCATCAGCTGCAGTTTCATAACTGGACCGGTCCATGCATTTCCAAGATTGCTGGAATCATTTGAAAATTGTGATATCTGGACCACAGGATAGCCACATACAATCTTTGAAAACACATGCTAGGACAAGTTTTGAGGTGTAATGTGGGCATGTGAAATACAAAATATCATTGTTTAATCTTTGTTCTACCAGCACACATGCTTAATGTCCGTGACCAGTGTTACATGATCAACAACTCCCATACTTCCAACAAATGTGCCACAGCTGAAGCTTGGGCCTCTCCAGTACTGGAAATCAATTTTGCAACACCTAGGATTTGGTTTACTACTACTTCAGATAGGATCCTGTGAGACCATTAAGAAAAGCTAGAAGTGAGACTGTTGGCTGCAACTGTTCCGTTACGTTTAGGACAAGTTCTTCACTGAAGCAATGTTGATATCTTTGGATCAAGGAACAGTTGATCTCCAGCACATCATGACAAACACTGTGAGTTGTGGCAGTAAGAACAAATGTTGCCTTTCTGTCCCCATTATGTTTATTGTTATCGTATTTCCACACCTCACCGTCACTGCTATGGGATGATTCCCAGCAACTGACAGTTTCATTCAAGATCTGATCTCTATACTGTTTCCTGTCCATACTTGCCTCACCATTTTCTCAACTCTTGATTCCTTTAAAGAAAGAACCTGGCCCCATTATATCCTTTTTCCATCTGAACAAGAGGAAAGCCCTTGTCTTCTAGGATCTTATCAGAGTCAGGGTATACCTATAAGTGATGTCAAAAGCTCTGCTTCATTAGCTCAATATGTTTCAGTTTTCCTTTTTAAATTTTTCTCTACCTTTGCCCACTGTTCAAAAAAACTTCTCCAGTTTGATAATGGCATGATGTTCAGGACAAATTGGAATTCATGCTTTGTTCCAAAACGATATAGTCTCTTTGATCATAACCACTGAGTTTTCATGAACTGTCTTCTTTAATGTTTTGGTAGAAAACGCACACAGAACTTGTCTATTTGCTTCTCGTTAGTTCAGCTTCTTCTGACCAAGCAGCCAAAATGTAGTCTTACTTTTTATTGCAGTGTCAGTTTGCAATAATACACCATTACAGTGTCAGTTTGCAATAATACACCATTACAGTGTCAGTTTGCAATAATACACCATTACAGTGTCGGTTTGCAATAATACACCATTACAGTGTCAGTTTACAATAATACACCATTGCAGTGTCAGTTTGCAATAATACACCATTACAGTGTCAGTTTGCAATAATACACCATTACAGTGTCGGTTTGCAATAATACACCATTACAGTGTCGGTTTGCAATAATACACCATTACAGTGTCAGTTTGACAATAATACACCATTAGCAGTGTCAGTTAGCAATAATACACCATTACAGTGTCAGTTAGCTAATATACACATTGCAGTGTCAGTTTGCTA